CCAGCCAGCACTGCCTGTAAATCAGGACATCCACCCTGCCCATGCAGGCAAGGAAGGGTCTGGGGAGAAGGGATTCCAGACATCTTCCACTGTCCCAGGCTGCTCCAAGCCTCATCCAGTCTAATCTTGGACACTTACAGGGATGGGGCACCCACCACTCCTCTGGGAAACCTGTGCCAGTGCTTCACCATCCCCACAGCAAAAAATTTCTTCCTTACATCCAGTCTGAATCTCCCCTTCTTCAGTTCAAAACCATCATCCTTTGCTCTATCACCACAGGCCCTACTAAAAAATCTTTATTTTTTTTTTAAGTTGTAAGCCCCCTTTAAGTACTGAAAGGCCACAATAAGGTCTGTCCAAAGCCTTCTCTTCTCCAGGTTGAACAATCCCAGCTCTCCCAGACTGTCTGCACAGGAGAAGTGCTCCAGCCCCTATCAATGAGCCTGCATTGCTTGGGACCATTTTTTGAGCTCAACTGCAGTAGCAAGTTTGACTAATTTGAGTGACTAGGCACATATTCAGACATAAAACATTAATATGGAAACAAATCAAAAGCAGTCTGGCTGGGCTCTTGCTTTCAATTCATTACATACACTGAAAAAGGAAAAATAATTAAAAAAAAATAAAATAAAAGTTTTTATCTTTTCTAGAACATACGAAAAGGCACAAATTCCTGACTGACTGCAGCACCTGGGCTGGCTGTGCTGGTAATTGGAACCAGCGTGTTTCACTTCCCAGGCATCCCATTCACAAGGGAGAGAAGGAAGCATTCAATTTTTCAATAGGAAATTTCATCGCCAAAAAACAAACCACCTTCCTTGACTCCAAGGAAGAGCCCAAGGACAAGTTTTCTCCTCGACCACAGCTTCAGCTTTACCGCCAGAGCTGAGTGCTCACGCCATCCCAAACCCATGAGACTGCCTTCAACACTTCCAGCTCTTTCTTTTGTTTTTTTTTTCCTCCTTCTAACACATTGTTTTTCTTTTCCTTTGGGATTGCTCAGAGGTCCAGTTTGCAACTTTTGTTTCCACAACCAAATGGGCTAAAACAAGCCTGGATTTTGTCCTGATAGTTTTCCTTAGATTTTTAGCTTTCCACCTAACTGCAGACCTGGGACTTCATGGAAAGCACCCAGGTGTAGCCGTGGGCCGTGCTAACATCAAGGGGATATTTGTGGGACATTTGTGAGGCAGAGCACACTTTAAGTGGGTTTTTTTAAATGAGCCTAGTACCCCCAAGCCATATGGGACTGAGCAAAAATCATGTTACACCAACAGCTTTTCTTTAATAGCATTTTTAAACTAGTTTTTCATTCCTAAAGCTGCTGTCTTAGCACAGAGTGGAATAAGGCTTTGAGGCCACAAAAACCCATCAGACACTCCAGCAGGACTCAAGAAACCAAGCAGCAGGCAAAGGGTCTGAGCAGAGTGGTGGCAGATTAAATGTAGCACCAGTCAGCATAAAACCAATGCAAAAAAAAAAAGCCCTTGACAATGGTCCCTGTAAGAATTGTAAGAATTAAGTTCCAGGATAAATAGGCTCAGAAGCAACCATCCTGTGCTTCTGCATGCACAGCTCGAATTTAAAAATCAAAGTTACTTCTCCTTGCAACACTTACTTGTAAAGTTATTTTTCCCCTCATTATTTATCTTCCCACCATAATAGCTTGTTCAAGCATTTATAGAAAAGCTAAATTACTAGTCTTCACCTGTTTTCTGAGTCATCCCTGACTTCCTCCATCTTGGTACCTTTCACATCCAGGACCAAGAGGGTTGAACAAGGAAAGTACGACAGCTAGTGCATGGAGGAGCTCCTCAAAATCACACCAAGCTCCATTTTCACACCTTTACTCTCCCTAAAATCTCTAGAAGAAGGTTGTCACAGAGCTATTCTTGAACAATGAAGACAGCCTTCTAATGCCCATTGCAGCACTGTTAGGGTACTTTTAGCTGTAATCTGGGGATTTTTTTAGCTGCCTTGAGCTGATCCCTTGACAAGGGGAATTTTTGAAGCAGACTAGAAGGGCAGACCTGGAGCAAGAACTGATGGCAGAAGGGGCAGGAGATGGGCACAGCTGAGGTCAGCAGCACAAGTAACATAAGGAAAACAGCACAAAATCCATATGGAATCACATGGAATGCTGGATGTTGAGATATTTCATGCAATGGAGGCACTTGCTGTTCCTCCACTTCAAGATGAGGAATAAGAAACCAGAGTAAGGTTCCTCAATCTGTGCTGAGTTAAGCATGGGATGCCTTACACAGCCCCACAGAAGACATAAAGTCTGCAGCATCCAAGTACTGGAAAATCCCTCAAGAAGCCTCCTGGTTCACCCCCAGCCCAAAGGAGGCATCCCTGAGAACATGTCAGAAATGTCTGTGTAGTTCAGGACTGCCAAAGAGGGATTCACAGCATTGACAGGACCCTGCTGTCTCACCTTTCACCTCCTCTTTAGTGGACCTGGTATCAGTGTAAAGACCTTTCACTGGATCCTACCAACACCTAAAAAATGCCAAGAAAATCTGTCAACACCCACCTCTGCTGGACTTCATCCTGGCCTTGACACACACAGCTTGGTCCCTCCTGTTGGACACAGACGCCGAGTCCTAACCCAGACCTGAACACCAGATCTCACTATTCTCACTAGGCTCCAAGGATCTCTCTAAACCCCAACAAATTCTAAGGCAAATTAAATGCATCTATTTTTGTAAGCCAGGATCACTTTTGTTCAGCTGCCACTGAAGCTTTTCTTAGAAGTCATTAACCATGATGGGCAAAACACAATTCCATCTCGCTCCTCTCCTGCCTCTTCAAAGGGAGGATGGCAGCACTTGAGCCACTGCCTCACTGATTGTCCTACTGTTCCACAAAGTGGTTCCTCTCCAGCAAATTGAACACTGAGAGCCATCACAGAGCCCCAGACAAAGGGCCCAGTGACTGTTTCTGGGATTATTAGAGGGAAGCAGAAAGAAGCCTATTACAGGGTCTTTGTGGCACTAAATGTTGACAGCTGAAAATAATGGATAGGACAAAACAGAGCAAAGATGATTTAAATTAGGCAGCTCCCGGGAAATGGTGCTCACGCAGGCTTCCAAAGGAGAACTTCCATTTCTAAGCACTGCTAACCCTCAGGTGGGTGTGCATGGCCCCTCTGCAGCCCATACACACACAGACACAGCCCTTTCCAGGTGCTCTGCAGAGCTTTTGCTCAGTTTGCCAGTGGCCACTGTACCCTACCCATTAGGGGATGAAAAAGGTGTATAAAAGAGCAGCATCAGCCACAGATCACCAGTCCTTCAACAGAAACAGCCTTTAATTCCTACCCACTGCCACAAGTTCAGGGACCTGGAAGGAGGGATCTACACTTCCACATTCCAACAATCATTACACAGCTCCTCCAAAACCACCTGGAAGACACAAGATTCACTCCTGTTCCAGGGGTTTGATACAAATGGAATGACAAAGGCTCTGACAAAGCTTTAGTGCCACCTCATGCCAGTCCCAGCTCTGTGGGACATATGTGGGGCTCATTTTAAATAACAGGCACCTGCCACCTATACACATCACCTCCCTCTCGAGAGGGCAGCAATCAGAGAATCACAGAATCATCTTGGTTCAGAAAGAGCTCCAAGATCATCAGGTCCAAGTTGTGCTTGATCCCCACATTGTCACCAGCCCAGAGCACTGAGTGCCATGTCCAGGCCTTCCTTGGACACCTCAGGGATGGGGACTCCAGCATCTCCCTGAGAAGCCTGTTCCAATTTTTTTATCACCCTTTGCATGAAAAAATTCCTCGTGTCCAACCTCAACATTCCCTGGTGCAGCCTATGTTGTCTCCTCCTGTCCCTGTTCCTGGAGCAGAGCCCGACCCCCCGGCTGTCCCCTCCTGTCAGGAGCTGTGCAGAGCCACAAGGTCCCCCTGAGCCTCCTTTTCTCCCTTCCCAGCTCCCTCAGCCACTCCCCACAGGACTTTGCCTCAATGCCCAAGCCATTCTCAGTTTGGACAGGAAAGCACAAGAGGGGTGGAGAGACACACACATTGCACATGGTGAATTTGCTGGCTGTCTGGGCTCTATAGATTCGTTTATGCTGTGGCAACAATCTGTCTTTCCAAGCATAGCACTTGGATTTTATGACCTGAAGCACCACTCAAAGCAGCTCCTGAACATCTGAGGATACAGCGCAGCCAGCCCTGATCTCACCCTACAGTGGATAGTTTTCACCCTGTTGAAAATGGGTCCCTGTGCAAGGAGCCCTGTGAAAGCACCTTCACAATTATGGGGTTTCATACCTTTCTTGTACCTAGGTGTAAACCAGGATATACAAGGCTGCTGTCCTGTTTGGCCACCCAAAGCCCTGAGACACCCCAGCAGCAACTGCAGGGTGACAGTGGGACTGATCCTGGCAACAAACACCCTGGAAGCGGAAGGGAGGAACCTTCAAATATACTCCTGGGGATCCCCCACCACCAGCCCTCTGCTGGGACGCTCTGGGGTGTCCCTTCTGCAAAAGCTGCCACTGCAGTGCAAGGGAGAGAGAGGTTTGGCATGGGATAAGGGTCGTGGACATGGCAGTCAGAGCTGGGAATGTTGCTCTGGATTTGTGCAGCATCTGGATCCTGCAGCAGTATCAGCATGTGTAGTGGTTGTGACAGAGGTGGAGTATGGGGAAGGAGAGAAAAGAATGAGAGAAAGGCAGGAGAAGGAGAGGAAGGAAAAAGGGAAAAAAAAGGAGGGGAAAGAAGGAAAAGGTAGAGAGGAAGGAAGGCATGGAGAAGGCAGAAGGCAGAAGATGAGAAAGAAAAAAGGAGAGGAGGAGAAGGAAACACCGAAGGAGAGAAAGCAGAGGAGGATAAGGAGAAGGAGAGGAAGAAGAAGGGGGAGGAAGAGAAGGAAAGAAGTAGTCTTTGAATTCATTGTGGAGCAATGCCTGAATCCATCTGACACAAAACAAGGCCACAGCACTGTTTTCCCCCCGAGACAGTCAGTTAAGCAGCTCACCTCCTGTCTCCTGCTTGGCACAGATAAGCGGCATGGAAAACCCCGGAGAGGAGAAGCACAGACGCGTTACAGCAGAGAGACACTGCAGCAACACCGACCAGACACTCTCCAGCAGCAATGTGCCAGGCAGCACGGGAGGGGAAAAGCTACCTGCTCCCATGGACATGCCAGCCTCTCCCTTTCAATCCCTTTTGTGAAAAAGGTGACTCAGGAAAATTGGAAAGGAAGCCGGGGTGGTATGAAAGTGGAACAAGACACCATCTGTTCTCAAGTCTCGCAGCTGGAAAGGGCATAACCTGCCCTTGGCGTGGCTGCAGGGGACACTCTGGTCCAGAGAGAGGATTTGTAGGAGAGGACAAAGCTGCCTGCTGGGTTTCCTGTGCTGGGATTCACCCAGCAGACACAGACACCCCATCACTGAGATGGAGCAGAGGCTTCACCCTGCTCTCACTCCTGCCCATGAACCCCTATGTAATGTCACATCTAGAAATATCTGCTTAGGATATTCATTCTACACTGCCCAAAAAGACCAGACATAGGTCAAGATGTGGGCATGAACCACCTCTGAAAGGCATATCAAAAGGTAAATGTGTTTCTGGAGAAATTCTTATTTGGAATCCTCATCTATTTCTTACAGTGTTACATCTGTTTTTTACAGTACCACAGTCCTCACTGTGGATTTGTAGTCACAGTTCAGAGCAGACGTTCATGAAGCTCAGGTGGAAAGGTGAGCAAGCCCTCAGTTCAACTTGTGCTTCACTGGGAAGAATGAAAGGGAAATAATAGAGAAAATAAGATAAAATTAAAAACAGGAAGCAAAATAAAGGGAAATTTGAAAAAAAATAAACAGGAGAGAAAGAAGGAGGAGGGGAAGAGGGAAAGAAAGAGAGAGAGAAGGTGAGAAGGAAAGAGAGAAGGAGAGAAGGAAAGAGAGAAAGAAAGAGAGAAAGAGAGAAAGAGAGAGAAAGAAAGAGAGAAAGAGAAAGAGAGAGAAAGAAAGAGAGAAAGAGAGAAAGAGAGAAAGAGAGAAAGAGAGAAAGAGAGAAAGAGAGAAAGAGAGAAAGAGAGAAAGAGAGAGAAAGAGAGAAAGAGAGAAAGAGAGAAAGAGAGAAAGAGAGAAAGAAAGAAAGAAAGACAGAAAGAGAGAAAGAGAGAAAGAGAGAAAGAAAGAAAAAGTTGGAAGGGAGAAGAAAAGAGAGAAAGGAAAGGGGGGGAAAATAGTGACAAGAAACAAAGAGGGAAAGAGAAAGGGAGAACAAAAAGTAAATAAAAAAGGGTGAGATTAAGAAAAGAAAAAAATTTAAAAAGGAAGTCAGCAAGCAAGACAACTTAGAGAGTTGATACCTTTCCAACACAAAAAGAACAACCTCGAGTCACTTTTTCTAAAAGTCTAAGCCCTTCCTAATAAGATGCCCAACAGGCTGTGAATTATCCAGCCATAAAACTTCCACTTGCATGTGACATTTGCTGGTAGGAATAAATCAGGGCAAAGAAAAGAGGAGCCACTTTGGAGTTCAATGAGTATTATCCTAATTCTAAATGTATTAGCAGCGGTCTGAAAGCAGGACATTGTCATCCAGACAGACGGACAATGTTCATAACCAATGGTAATTTGTAGGACGCATAATTTGCTACTACCAAAATAGCACAGCATGTGGGGTTTTTTGCCCTTTTTAGTCTATAGCTGTGTCGTTTCTTTTGGCTTGTTGAAAGAAATCTGCTTTGCACACGCGGAGCAAGAGCTCAGACCTTCAGCAGCTCATAGAAAACAGGTGGCCAGGCATCGGGGGAAATACAGCCTTTCGGAAAAAGCTAATAAAATAAGCAGATGATTATAGAAAATGGAGATGAAACTGGCTTCTCTTTCAAAAACAGAAAGTAAAAAAAAAAATAAGTTTAGACTGAGAAAATGCTGACTGAAAATACACCCTGCCACCACCTCTCTGAATCTTAACAACAGCAACAGAGTTTTCACCTAAAATTTAGAAAAAAAAAAAATTAGGAAAAGAATAATCATCCCCTCAGGGCTGACCATCCCCAAGCTGCAAAGCTCAGCTACCCCAGGCTAACCTGGCTGCTAGCTTAACACCAAGCAGGCTGGGAACTCGGGAAAGTCAGGCTAAAACAGCAGATTACTGTCTTAAGACATCGTCCCTGCCATCCTCATCTCCCCATCGGACAACAGCGCACAGCACTTACATGAAAGTTGAAATTTGGTCAAGTCTCAGTCCTTTAACTTTCCATGGGGAGAATGTTAGGAGGCACCTCTCCTGCACGCTCCAGGACCACTTGCTTTAACTGTCAGTTATTTCATGGTGGAGACTCACGCCAAAAAAAAAAAAATAGAAGGGAAAAAAATAAAGCAAAAAACCCACCCCAGAAAAAATAAATGCCTGTATCCCTAACAGAGCAGCAGGGTGGAGCCAGCACACCCTTATATTTAGCTGCAGGCAAAGCCTTAAAGTTGTAGTGCATTTATTTTCCATCAAGCACATCTATGTACAAGATAAAAAAACTCCCCAAACTCCTGCTATTTGCCCCATTCTGTCTTTCATGAGGTACACTGGGATTGTAATCACTGTTTTATTTTTATTTTCTGAACTCAGGAGCCTTGGGATGGATCAGAGATTTCAACAAGCTCAGCTGAAGTTACCTCAAGCTCAAGTAAGTGCAGTTTCCCACAACCCTGGGAAAATAAACTACCAATTTTTTTTTTTCTTCCTTACAGTGGAAAAAGGTAGTTACCAGGCATAAATCAGACCTCATATTTAGAAAATGCTCCACGGGCAGAGTGGCGGTCTCAAAGGCTGTGAATCCATCCCATCTCTACCTGCCCCAGCAGAGCAAGCGTGGGTGGCAGCCAAGGTCAAAGCCCATCTGCAGAGGGCACAATTTGCCGGGACATCCAACACAAACAGACACGGGGGAAGAAGGGAAAAAACCGGGATCTGCTCCCAACCCCTCCCGAGGCCACATCCATCCCGAGCCACCCCAGTGCCTCCCGCTTGGCCCCGCAGCTCCCTTTCATACCCTGCCAGCCCCCCGGGCGCTCCAGCAGATGCCGTGCGTGGAGCTGCAGCCTCCTCTGCCAAAGCTGGGGGACGGCAAAAGGCTCGGCCAACTCGTAAAAAAAAATGAGCATCTGCACTTCGCCACTCGCACAGCTGCACTGTGACAGCAGGGCCTGGAGACGGGGCTGTCTGCGGGGACTCGGTGGGGGAAAGGGAAATGAGTCCATCACACTACTGCAGGAGCTGCCACTGACCTTCCAGGGAGCCTTCCTGGAGCTTCAGGGAATTCACTGAGAAGACTCAAAAGGAAATTTCATCTTTCTCAGCATTTTCCTTTAAACCCATCCAGCAAAGCTAAACACGGAGGAGCATCTGAAAACCCTCAAGAGGAGAAATCAATCTTTTGCTTTCAAGCAAGTGCTTACAGAACTTGTTTGGAGACTCATCTCCTCATTTTCTTTCTTCCATCAGAAGGGTTGTTCTCTCCAACAATCCTAACCTCTGACAGGAGGACAACCCACAACTCCCTCCATAAGGATTCACATGCTCCAAATGGGGCCCACCAGTGGGTCTGCCCTGCCTTGGATTACAACATGAAAGCATCCACCAAAATCACACTCTCCCATGAAATCCTGCCTTCACTTCCAGCAGTGCCCCCTGTCACTGATGCTTCAGCAGTTTTGACCCCAGAGTCAGTTTTTACCATGTATCTTAAGAAAATTTGGAAAATATTTCTCCTCAGGTGCTCTGTGAGCAGGAGCTGGCATCCTTCCCACACCTCTCACTGGGGAACAGGGAGGTGCCCTGAATAAAGGCTTTGTCTTTATTTTGTGGCTTTACCCCCAACCAGATCAATTCCTATATGAGATGAGTAGGTAGGAGTGAAAAGCCATTTTTACTATACATCTGACATTTCAAACCGAGAGGCCATCTGGGATCTTTTCTTCTCTTGCACTCTGTAACAGGAGCTGACATTTATCCAGTGGCAAAAAAGAAGCATCATCATGGACTTAAGGGCATCAGATCAGCCTTTGGAGTTCTGCTGCCCAACCCAGCCTCAGGAACAAGCTGCCCAGAGAAATGGTTCACATCCCACCCTGGAAACACTCAAAGCCAGGTTGGATGGGCATTTGAGCAACCTGATGTTGTTGATGTCCCTGCACATGACAGGGGCATTGAAACCAGACGGTCTTGAAGATTTCCTCTAACCCAAACTGTTCCATGACTCCTCTCCAAAGCAGTCCAGAACTGTTTGCAGGAGGTCTTTAACAGAAGATCATGGAACGGTTTGGGTTGGGAGGGACCTTAAGGATGATCCAGTCCAACTCCCTGCCATGGGCAGGGACACCTTCCACTATCTCAGGTTGTTCCAAGCCCCATCCAACCTAGCCCTGGACACTTCCAGGAACAGGGCAGCCACAACTGCTCTGGAAAACCCAGAACAATGAGCTTTTTCACCAGGTTTCACCATGTCACAGTGACAGACAGGACATGGCCTGTGCGACACCCACACCAGATGTGATTAGAAATTGGTAATTAACTCATGATGCACACAGCAGAGCAGCTTTTCTTGCTGCACAGCCCAGCTCTGGAGGGACACCCTGAGGAAAAAAAACATACTCTGTCAATGTACAGGCATTTGGAGACAGCCCAACAGCAGATCTCTTGACTGAAAAGGACATGTTTTGTTTGTTTGTTTTGAACCACTGGTTGCCATTGCAGGACCTCACACTGGGCATCTGTCCTACCATACAATTTGCATGACAGATGCTCTTTCGACTTTCTACTCATTGAAACAAAGTGGGTACTGAATGAAGGCCTTTGAGGCCAGCAGGGGCTTCAAATACAGTCAGTGTCCAGCTAATTCTGCAGGGCAGTGTCCCCACCTTCCTCCACCCCCTCCCTATTTATGTTACAGTCATACAGATCCATTTTTGCTGACTGCGTCCTTGCCCTCCCTCTGCCCTCTGCAGAATTTCATTAATCCCACTTTGCTGGCTA